GAAAAAGCAGTTTTCCCTAAACAAACTATACGGAATTGCTTGTGTATAAAAGGGTCCTCAGAAGGAAACATGAACAAGCTGCAAAGAATGCAGGAATTGGCTACCATTCGTGGTGAAACAGGCAAGCCTGTGGCTAGCTTTCCAGACATATATCTATGTGCTCTGCTTGAAGTTCATCCATAGCACCAGACACATTTATACTTTACTCAGCTCTAATGACCAGTGGGTTGAAGCAGGGAGGCTAAGCAAATTCAGGATCAAACCATATTTGGCTAAAATGAGAAAGATCCTTAAACTCTCCCAAGTATTCCATTAAACAAGGAGACACACCTACAAATTCAAGCTCCTAGAAGAGATTTTATCTTTTTTTAGGCTTAGAAAAGCAGCTGAAAGTTATGTCTTTCATGTCTCCTCCCCATGACTACTCTCTTCACCAGTAGCAATAAACGTACTTCACTGACTAAACTGCCCACCGATGGCCTTTCCGAGATGGGCAGCAGTAACTGGAGCTTTATAGAAACAGTAACCGATACGTTAAATCCTTGAAGAGAAACATGATCTTGTAAAAGCAATGAAATCTGTAGACTAGGACATCACTTGGTTCATCTACTCAGGGGACGGTTTTGAAGCCCCAGGTGGGTCAACAGTCTACTTAGAAGGTACCTTTGTCCGAAGGAGCGGTAGGAGCATCCACAGCTGCAAACACCGCCAGCTTGGCTTCGTCAATGTCCTGCTGTGTGAAGTCTCCAGATTTTACCCAGTCAGCTGCTTTTTCAAAAGTTGTCAAGGTTGCTAAAGAATTTGGATCTCTAAAAAGCAAAAATGAGTCATTTTTGTGTCACAATGCCAACTAAGTCTGTGCAGACGGTACAAATTTAAGTTCGGAGCAAGTCTCCCTTCATTCAAAGTCACTTCAATTTTGCAGACAGCATCTAGACCACACATGCACATAATCCAGGATCTACTCTATGTGCATGGTTTGCACCATTTAATTTACAGTCTGCTAAGGCTTCTGCTTTAAAGAACACCACTTTTCCACTCGGTCGGAGCACTGGTGCCATACAGCTGTTTGCTGCTGCACCTGTATTGGTTCATAAACCCTAATCTTCACGTGGGCTAAGGAAGCTAATTCTATGAATTTCCAGATTCTACCATCTCTTTCCTAAGGGAGTATAGCAATGGAAGAAACCTGCCTTTCTACAGCATGTAGAAACACTGTGCTAATTCAAGAGAGGGAATATTTTATTTCACAGCAATTATGGGAGAATTTTAGGGAGACGGAGACGGCCAGACTCAGCAATGCTGCAAGTAGTTTCTAGGCAACTTGCCCAGATTTGGTATTCACAAGACGTACAAACAAATATAGTTTATAATGAAGACACAAACCTCCTGCCTGGCATAAGCAGGTGTAACTTCCATTAGTCACCGCCGCTGTGCCACTTACTCCAGAGATTAATTTGCTCTACAAGCTCTGGGGATGATGTAGCATAATGCAGGGCAGGCAGTTCTTACTCTTACGACATATCCTTTTCCCCACTGTACCTTCTCCCCCAGCCACTTCAGCCTGAGGCACCTACTCAGTGTACCGACTGAAGTGCAAAGTGGTACACATTTTAGTTGCAACTTTAACATTTCTCAGTGCTTACTGATCTACCAAATTTAGCCTAGTGCCTTCCATGGGGATTATGCTAAACTACGTTTGGTCCAGGATAACTATTTAATTAGTCTAGGTGACTGTCCACACACCCCTCTTCTGGTGAGGAGTCACTGGGTTAATTGCTACACACCATTAAGATTGCCAATTCAAGTCTCAATCGAAAAACAAAAGCCACAAGGTATGAACAAATTACAGTGTTAAAGGGGAAGCTTATGCTGTGTTCACTTTTATCTTTTAGGAGGTAGAAGCTAAATTACAGGAACTCAACCCTGTCTCGTTCAGGGGTAAACCTCTTGGTTTTGCTTCCACTTGCCTTGAATAGGAGCAGGCATGACAGGGCAGCTGACACATGGTAAGTCCTCTCCCCACCTTTTAACTCAGTCTGCTTTGTTCTTCTGTCTATTAGCAGCCAAAAGCCTCAGTAAAAACCCTGCCACGACAATTTTTCAGGGATGTCATGAAGAAGAAAAGTGTGACCTGGCCAGACATCAGCACCACTTCCTGCTGCAACCAAGTTTTTCCTGTAGGACTCCAGCTCTGTCACTTAGATAGCATGGCTGTTTCTGTATCAGTAAAGATGGGCTTCAGGAAAAAGCCAATTTCTAGCGCTCAAGTCTATACTCTACCTCTTCCCTCAAAATGCTGTTCAAATGCCTCAAGCCTCCTTTTTCTGCTATAATGCCCAACAGAAACAAGAGGACGGCGGCATACAGATTAAGCTGGGGTAAAACTGCACTGAAGCCACATCACACCAAGTGAGAGCAAATGCTGCCACTTGTTGAGAAGAGGGGAAACAATACCCAGTAAGGGGCAGGAAACAGGAAACAGGGGGATGGGTTTTGCTGACTATGGCTTTGCTGCACAGTAAGCAAAGCAAGAGAAGAAGAGGAAGGCTGGAATCAAGTGACAGATCTCTCTGACATCAAGAGCAAGTTGCTTCATGTTACCGGTAAGAGTAGAAAGTGAGTACACCGCTGTGACTGAGTTTGGCTCCACCACCATAAGCTCCTCCTTTCTCTCTAATTTCTCTATGCAGGAATTTAGCTGTCATCAACCGTGCGAGGATCTGAAGGCTGAAACAAGAGAAGAAACAATAGCAAATGAGTTCAATGTGGTAGCTGGTGCCTGGCAGAAAAATGTACCACTTCTATTGCAAAGATCCAAATACAAGCAGTTTTCCTTATTGCACCTTATGGTGACAGCAGTGAAAAAGGACAAAACAAAAAATTTTAACTTGCCCTGTCTTCAAATAAGATACCCTAAGGTCTGTTATAACAGTGCTACAATAAAGCCTGAAACCTTCCATCACTTACTGAAATTTTACCTTCCTCCAGATGGGAAGGCCGAGTGTGATCCAGTTACTACGCCTTCCCAATCAGGTGATATTCCCAGAGGTATTAAACACAATCAAACCAACAAATGGGAAGATTGCTTCTGAAGGGGTTCATCAGTAATAACAGGTCCAAGTATTTTTTGTGTAACAGATTTTAGCCTGAATCTAAGTCAGTTTTATTTCCCTGGGGACCCACAAGAGCTGATCTTTTTCCATCTCTTACCTGGCATAGTCTTGTGCCGTGTAAGGAACTGTGCGAATGCATTCACCGATATAATTCACAGGGAAAGAAAGGATAAAATGGGTCTTCATCTGACATGGCTGGAAAGTTGGTTCCTGAGAGAAAGAGCATTTTTGTGGCAGTCAGAAGAGACCGTATGTAGACCTGACAGTCCAGTCACTGGAGAACTTTAGCGCTGTTGCAGATTTCTCATGAAAAGCACGTTACATTCAAATGCCTGCAGTCTCCCATTTCACATACCACTTTGGCTTCCAACATTACAGAACAATGCATGTAGCAAATGTCCATTATAATACTACCAAATTATTAGGCATCCCAAAATTAAATTGCCTTGGCCAATTGGCACATGGGAGGTGGATACCATCGTCCATATGTATTGCTCACCTTTGCAATCCGTGTGCTCTTTTTTGCATAGCCTTTCTTCTGCAATTTGAATCGGTTTCAAAATTCTCCACTCATATGCTCTCAAAAATATAGCCACTAACACACCTGACTTCACCTCCACCCTGCTACCCTATTTGACATCATGTATTAAAATACCAGAAAATAAGGAAAAAAACCACATGACACTCCCCCCACCAAAACCTCTACTCTTCATGTAGATATACATGTGTGCAGGCACGCACGAGTTTCATGAACGAGGAGAAATGAAGTAAAATTAAGCCATCTTCAAAGGGTCAAGGGGGACAAAAGGGAGATACCAAGAAATTTATGCAGAATGACAGATTATGACAGGTAGGGCTGAGGGAAGAAACCAGCAAGTTAATGTATTTTAGTGAGGTACTAACATGCTTAAATTTATCTACAAAAGTACAAATTTGCTCAACAATATCCAGAAATTGACCAAAGAAACCATACTTACTGTAATTAGTTTCCTTGGGATTTGTGAGCAATTAAGCGTTTCACTTCCAGTAGCTTTGGGCTCCGAATACTTCTACAAAGACAGGGCTTTGTGTTAAAGAGTTCAACAATTCAGAAAGGAATGTTAGAAATGTCCTCCTTTCCCCACAGTAGCTTTTCACCACCTCCCTCTACAAGCCAATACATCAAGGTGTTTTGTTCCTTGTTTCTATTTAAACTCAGAAGGCAATTTCTAAAACTATTTAATCCCACGGGTACCTGCTATTAACTGGGCCAAAGTATAGCTTAAGTACTTTAAGTGTGGTAGGCCTGCTGTGTTACAAAGTGCACATTCCCAAGCCTCAGCCCTTCCTCCACTGTACAGAGGCTCAGTGACATGCAAAACTTGCTTTTGTTTTTGAGGACTGCTTGTCTCTTGGAGGTAGCCCTTAAAAACTACTACACAGTCTTAAATGTGCCTAAGACTGTACTACTCGCACTGCAGATCTGCCCCTGCCCAAATGGGAATGCCAAGTGTTTCTCTAGTTGTCCTAACCAGGGAGTGAGAATAACTGCTTTGAAACACTGACTGATACCGAGTCTCTCTCTGGTAGACAACTTCTATGGAAATCAGCCAGGTTTTTGCCCCAGTGGCAAAAGGAAGGGTGAGAAGGGGTTCAAAACTCCTCCTTGCTACCCAATGCCTGAGATTAGGAGAGGCTTTTCTACTGACCAACCAAAGCCTGAATACTTTAAGAAGTCCTAACACTTGGATTGTCTATGTATAATCAAACAGAGGTCCAAATGCTTTTAGGCCCACAAGGAACAGAAAGAAGTGCATTTTACTCTAGCTCTGTGATCAGCTGCTGAGTTCTGTTCCCCCGCAACCTTCTACCACCCTTCAAACAAAACAACTCACCTTGGCCTTGCAGATCAACATTCAGCCCCAAAAACATTGACACGGTCATTAAAAATATTTGCATTATAAACCATAACTTTCAAACCATTAGATTGGTGCTAGAGGGCCCAGCATAACACAAATGATGTCATTTTCAGTAAAACAGCTAAATGGTAAAGACTCAAGACAAATGGTCTTGGGGACATGTTATATACAGAAACACTAATTTCAATTTGAAAAGATGCAAGCTTGTTTGCATGGACAAGATTCATACTTGCCAAAATCATTTGTTTCTGTTTACATGGTTCATATTAGACTTATGCTTTAATGCTACTTTACAACGATTCATTTTCCTCACAAACCAAATCTTCCTTCATACCTCAATCACGTGGGGTCGAACAGGTCTTCTCTCTTTTTTACTTCTAGTGATGCCCTTTATAAATTTTTCTACTTCTTTCGATGCTTGGGCCATCTGTTGAGGTGTAGCATTCACTGAACATCTGTTGAATTACATCTGCAATTAGTCATGTTTCTTGCCCTTTTTGACAATCTTTAAATTTTAATCATTTAGCCTCCCCATACGAGTTAAAAAAAAAGCTCTAAATCATCCCAACTGCTGATGACCTCTGTGCCAATGGAGGCTGTTCTGGTAATGAACTAAACCACAATAAGTTGGAAGGCACCAACAATTTGAACCACAATATACCAAAACAGCTTAATGACACGTGGAAAGAATATTTTCTTTGTTCCTTTGGCACGGCAGAACAGCTTGAGACTCAGAACTCTGTAGCAACTGTCAACCTGGTATTTCTGTCATGGACAGATGAGTAAATTATGGAAAATAAGCATCACATGGAATATTTGAACACTTCACTAGTCTCAATTTAGGTTTATATGTAGGTTTTACCACAGATTCCTGCATTTAAATAAAACCTGTACATATAGGGGGCTTCCCCCCCGCAACCCTAAATACTATCCTGAAGTTTAGCAGCTTCAAGACAGGTTTGTTACTTCAGGAATTAAGGCATCTGGTGAGAGCATTTTAGTTATAGAATTCTCTCTCCTCTCTCACGATACCGATACCCCATAGATTAAAAAAAATCTCACCGTTTTCGCATAGAAACAGAGACTTTTCTCCCTGTATTACACTCCATTGCCTAAAAGATATGACAGCAGGAATCTCACCTCATGTTATCACTGTTTAATAAATATTTCTTTATCCTTGGAAGCTTGCGCAATATTGGTTTAACGTCAGACATTTCTGCAATTCGCTTCATCAATTTCACCTAAACAGGGAGGAAAAAAGCAGAACAGAATAAATAAGCAGCTAGTGGATAAATTAGCAAAAATAAGCACAGTATTACAATTCTAGAGGATGTTGGCATCAGCTGAAAAAAACAAACAACAAAACAATCCCCTCCTTCACCTGATCCATCCCAGTAAACATTTCCTGTAACTCTCCAGCAGGTGTAAGGGTTTTGCTAGCTCTAACAGAAGCATAGAGATGTCCAGAATCAGGAATACCATTTGACAGCTCTTGAGCAATCATCTTAACCAGCACCTTAAAATGCTCCTCTTCTTCAAACCGTGGGCTATAAGAGATAGAAAGACCTCATTTACTATACAAGTAAAAATTCATTAAAAAAAGATTAAGACACAGGAACAATGGAAATAGGAATTCTGCAGCTCTTATGCAGACATAATCCAATTGATTTTAAACAGTTAAACTCTTCATCCTCACAAGTTCCATAAATAGCCTGCATCTATTTTATTCATTGAAGAATGATCGGCTTTTGAGTGTACTGAGATTAAAACATATCAAAAACTCAAATGCAGGAACTCAGGTTGGTTTTGCTTGCAGGGAGAGAGAACAGAAGGGATGGGAAGGGAAAG